AAAAGTGAGAATATCGGTATCAGGTAGAAATTTCTTGAATATGTTTCTAATGCTACTTCACATCCTGGTTTTTACAGAAAAACGTTGGGTTCTCAGACACTTTTTCCTTCTTTTCAATTGATTTGTTTTGAGGAATTGACATCTGTATTTGTTGGAACTCAATCGAGTCTATGGTTTTTTTGAGTAGGCCTCTGGTTTTTTTGAGTAGGCCTCGAGTCTATGGTTTTTTTGAGAAGGTTATGGTTGAAATGGAATATAATTTGCATTTTTCATCACCATTCAATAGGTTTCACAAAACAATTAGGGTAAAAGGGTGCTAAATAAAATAACAGAGAGGAAACGCTTTGCATCTTTCTACGAAATAACATCATGAACTGCTAGTTACAAGTTTTGACAGGGGACAAAGCAGAGCTTCGCATCATTTGCTATACAGCGCAAGCGTAGCATTGCAAGCAAGAAACATATTCTAAGAAGGCTAACTAAGTCGAAAAAAAATATAATTGACAAAAATGAATTTTTATTTTAAGATAATTATTTCCAAAAAACAGCCGAAAAACAACACCATCAGCAATAAATTAACTTAAACTGTGTAGCGATTGGACGACAAGTTAGTAAAATGTGGATGGACGCCCATTGAGTTTAGAAAAAATCAACAAAAATGTGATCATTTAAAGTTTAAATTTTTACTACAAATCCGACTTGAATATTTTCAACTGACACAAAATGAGTTGACTGAGCCGATAAAAAATAAATTCAAAAAAATTAGGTTAAAAAAGCTTTTAACTTATGAAAAAACGGAAATCTACTGCATATATAAAAAAGATTGCAATACTTACAAATTTCAGAAATCAACACAAATTGCTTACAATACAAGAAAAATCATTATGTGGCAAGTAAGGCAACAAAACATCAGCAAACAAACGAAAGCCCGACGGTTCATTTTACTTCCAGAGTTATTTTTCAAGGAAATTGAAAACGAATGTCCGAACGGGACTCGAACCCCAGACCTTAGCATGAAAAGGCAACCATATTAACTCTAAGCCACGGAGCCTGGAAATATTTAACGTTCACTAAAAAAGCAGGCTCTACTTATAACAGGTTCAAGCAACAAAAGTTGATTACAGACAAAAAACAATCCAATTACCATTAACAAGACAATTGATCTTGCAAGTGTAAACAAGAAAAAAAAATTTTTTTTTCATATTTTTAAGATGCAAAAAAAAGAAAACAATAGCCAAGAGTACAATTAAATGATAAAAACTAGCAGAACGTAAAGCATACCAAAACCAGAGCAATCTGTTGAACTCATGAAAACTTAAGAGTAATCAACGGATTAACTAAGGTTGGCCCGAAACTGAAGCCAAACAAAATTTGACAAAATTCAAGCTTGCCTTTTAAAAAGGCAAGTAAGCAAACTTCTCTGACGGTTTTTCTCTGATACAGAAACAAAAATTTTAAATCCATATAATTCTAAAATTCTGAGAGAGATTTGAAAGGTACAGCTGGTTGCTGTTCAACTACCACTGAAAAATCAAACCACATTTATATATGATAAACTCTTACAGTTTATCACAAAAAGATTTGCAGAAAAATTCTGCATATTTTTTTTCGGCAAAACCTATGTACAATTTATATTGATGAAATCAAATTAACCGTTTGAAACTTCTTTACTCCGCCATGACAAGAATTTTGAAAAAATGTTTGAAAATTGCTTGTCAACTAAAATTGTGACGACTTGAACAATAATAAACAATGTCTTTTAAACAATTTAACAAAAAACGCAGAATCGAAATTTTTTTAAAGGACAGAAGTCAATCTTAAGATTGCGCAAAAAACTGTATAATGAACTATTAGGTATTTTAATAGGTTTTTGATAGAGAACAAGGCATAAGAAAAGCTGATTGGGAATTATCTAAACTTTAAATTTACAAAAAAGATTTGGAATATGTTTCTTTTCATCAGGTAAACTAATTTTCGGAGATTTAAACAAATTACCACAATAATGAACAAATTCTGTGACGAATAATGAAAAACTAATACAAACAGGTATTAATGCGGACCAAACTAAAATAAGAGCACTGGAGCTAAAACAATTTAAAAAGTCGGGAAAGTTTCCAGCATCCAACAATCTATACAGACATATAAGAAAGCTGTATTTAAAATCCAAAATTTACCCACAAAAAAGATCAACCCTCAAAATTTAACAAGGCCTTCTCAACTGTCGAATGATTAAAATAAGAAAATCTCAAATTAATGAATAATTTTTAGCTCCAAAAATAAGATAAATTCAAAAAAAGAGATTATCATAAACATTATCTAACTCAGAATAATTTGTGTTGGTTATCTTCGGATTTCAAATTCGAGGAAATTATCTATAATTTCTTCGAAATTTTTTGCATTTTTTTTTCCAAACATTTTGTAAATTTTGTTTACACTCGCGATAGTAATAAAAATTACAATAGTGTTCTCGGTGTTTTAAAAAATTTGAAATCCTGACGACAGGTTTGCTGACGTGATCCTTTTCTACAAAGTGCAAGCTTTGCTACGAGTGACTCGTCGTTCTTATGAGTCTCTAGTCTCTTAGGTTTTTAGTTGAAGAACCCAGAAGAACGAAGTGTCACGCGTAGCAAATTGTGAGCTTTGTAAAATTGGATCGTCAGCAAAAAGCAAGCCATTCATCAGGATTTCAAAATTTTTAGAAAGCCAAAAACTCGATTGTGAAATTTCGGGGAAATGACAAAATGTTTTCTCAACGTTTGATATCCGAAGATAACAAACACAAAATTCACCTCAAACTATTTGTATTACATAATGTTTAAGTCGCTTTTTTTCTTTAAATTTATTCCAATTAGGGAAAACTCTATCAATAGGTTGAGTCCGCTGAAAATTTAGAAAACAAAAACCTATTTGTGAAGCTGGAAATCATTCGCGATTTTGGGACTTTCTTGTTTTAACTGTTCGACAGTGGAGCTGGCCTTCCTTTTAACCAATTCACTGAAGTGAAACTTAAATGTCAATAAGGTTCCGTTTTTGTTTAGGTTTAGGAAAAAAATAATCAGAAATCAGCTCACTGCTCAACCGAAACGAGATAAACATGCTTCGAGTATACACAATAACCGTTGCATTCAATGCAAATTAACACTTGTTATAACAAGTGCTGGTTTGCATAAGATTGATAGAATAATCATACTTTATCAGGTCTGTCATGTGGCCTAGCGGTTAGCACAACGGTTTTAATGGCAGGTTGGGAGTTCGAGACCCCGCCCGATATTTTTTCTAGCTAAAAATAGCCTAGATTTAACTAATTTTTAATCAGAAGTAAGATAAGAAATAAAAAATTTTAAGAAAAACCCTGTTTTATTTAAACATTTCGCAAAGAATTTCTTACCAGAAAAATAGATTAGACATAAAATATTCCAGATCAGAAATAAAGGACTTTCTCGGTACGGGTAGTGATCTGTTTTTTTTTGCCAGGAAAAATCTAATTCAAATCCGTGGTGGAACTAGGATTTTTTTTGAGACGAGAGGGATGCAGATTTTTCAAGAAAAAATTTTGACGTTTTTTAAAAGAAAAAAATTTTTTTTTTCGATCTCCCACAAAATTGTTAGGAAACTGTTATGCCAAAAGTTTCTGCGCCTCAGAGAAATTTTTTTAAAAAACATGCAGGTGTCTTGGTTCGACACGTTTTATTTTGGCGCTCTTTGGTTAAGTTTTGACCAAAAAGTAGCTTTGTTTCGGCGTGCGTTCCTTGAAAATACGTATAAATTTGCGCCGAATGGGCCTGTAGATAATTTTTAAGTTCGGTCAGCAGAAAAGGGATACCATAAAATAGTGTCAAAAGGACTTTTTGGGCGGTGAGAGGGAAAAGTCCCTAAAGTAGAGGTCCCTTTAGTCTACTATTGCTTTGTACCCAAATTTTTCCTCAACTACGTGCAAACTAATTGTTTTCTCTCAACTAAGTTTTCTCTCCGTAACGACAGAAAGAATTATCAATTAATACAGAAGCAAACCGAAGTGAAGCTTTTCATCACTTGCGATGTAACGCAAAAATAGCATGACAAACTAATTAACAGAAATTGAGACAAAAGCCTCAAAAGAAAACAAATTGAAAAAAAAACGTCGAAAAAATGATCTAGCAAAAAAATCCATATTTTGTCTTGATTTTATTTCAAAAAAGTTTCTTTGAAGAAAAACTTGTCAATTAAGACAATCGAATGTTCGATTTGCTTTGAAGCAAAATTTATCAAGCGGTAACAAAGCCGACATTTCTTGAGCAGACACGTTGAGCCAAAAAAAATGCTCGAAATAGTTTTCAAGTCTCCCCTCAGAACATTTAGATAAATTTTGTGGCTCATTAAACGACCCAAAAATAGATTGCTTGCCCTTTTTTGTATAAACCAGAATGTTTTGTGCTGAATAAAGCGAAAAAGAGAATAAAGTTGAGAAAAAACTGAAACCAGAGTTGGTAAATTTACAACCATTACACAAAACAGTTTCGAATAGAATGGACTGGCTATTAAAAATCAAGCATGCTCAAAATTTGAACGTTAGGCGACGAAAATTCAGATGGAGATGACCAACAATTTCAATTTCTCGGTGAAAAAAGCTCTTTATGCTGGAAAAAGCGTCTAGCACTCGGTTGAAACACGCTTGCTTATCGCAAGGGTAATCATTAACCAGTAATTAAAGAGACAAGTTTGAAGATAGAACTACAGCACCAAACCTCTAAATTTATTTGGTATGAATATCAGAAGTGGATTTAGTGTGGGGGGACTGAAAAACGCCTTTTTTGGCCAGTTTTTTTTTTTCAAAAATTTTCCCGCGGCATAAAAAAATTGTCATTACAGGGTCTTTTTAGTGATTTGGGAGAGGACTTTGATCGACCTAAAAATAAGTAGACAAATTCTTAAAAACCCACTTCCCCTTCGATAAAATCCTAGACCAGCCCCTGGTCTGATCTGAATACTAATTAGGAAATGAAGAGCTTTATATAGCTTACCTTTGAAGTATTTGGCGACGAGGGTGGTGTATTGAAATGGTTTCTTGATCAGCCAGAAAGTGTCCACTGCAATCCACACATGATGGGCCACAATCCACGTCTTCGGAACATTCGATCCTATCTGAGTGACGTGACAGTACAGCCGAGAGGTCATCATCATGCCCTAAAACAGATACCAACTCTAAGATTTAATCTGTGGTCAAGTGTCTACGGATTACGACTTTCAGTCAAACGGTCGGTGGTTCGAGACCCGCCATGAACCTTGCTTGTGCTTGAGGGATAAGCAACATTGCACAAACTCATGCAACTCGTTCGTGATAAATAAAAAAATTTTACGTTTAACCTTTCAACGTTTTGCCCAAAATTTTTTAGGTTAACTTTCTGGGAGAACCCGTAACAGCCAACGGTTGTTTTTTTAAAATGTTTTGTAATTCTTATTCATAATCTAGAGAACATTACATGTAAACCAGGTTTAATATTTTTGAAATTTAAAATTGATAAATTTTAAAATTTAAGTTTTATACTTTATAGGGGTGATTATTTTTAGGTAGCATAAGCAAGGAGGGGAGTTGACTAGTTACAGAGATCCTATTTTTCATTAGGGACCCCTGCATTTTCCAGGCATCCTCTATCATTATTGTATCAAAAATTCCAACCTGAAACGTCCTTGAGAAGCGGAGGGGCGTAGCGTAGAACAGGATGAACAACCCGTAGAAGATGTTCGAAGCACAGAGACTGGCGGCTGCAAAGGCCGCATGTTTACGAGGACAACTGTGGAAAATAACTGTCAAAACAACTCCCAAATTGGCCAAAATTCCGAGGCAGAGGACTGTTATTTTCACGAAGTAAATTGTAAATTCAATTGCAGGATGTTTATAAAAAGGAACTTCATGTTCATTTTCAACCAAACTACTGTTGTTAAACATGGTGACTTTTTGATCTTGAATAATTTTTTCTTTCAAAAGGTGCAAATTTTTTTAGCGTAAATGGAAATTTGATAATTTTATTTGAAAAAATTTTCTTTGATTGAATGTAAAGTATGATTAGTTTTAGAAAAATGGTAATAAATGTATCAATTATATATAAACTTCACTAGCAAAAAGCAGCTAAGAGTGTTCAAAGAGCTTTTGAAGATTTTCGCTGTCGCGATAATTTCTGGTCTAAGAGGGGCAAGTTCAAACTTTTGAATTGCAAATTGTCTGATAAGGTATCAAAGTAAATTATACCAATGGTTGAAATGCGGTAATGGAATACGGAAGTAACTGAAATAAACCAACCAAGAAAAGCAGTTCTAAAAATGATTGAAAGAAATTGCGAAAAGTGTCTGCTTTTATTTCTGCGTTCACCGGATTGGATTGATTTATCGATTTTTACTTTTAATTTTCCCAAAAATATAGCAAAAATGTGTATTAAAAGGAAGCTGAAATACTAATAGAAAAGCGAAATAATATAAAAAACAAGCAAAGCTGTACTGTAAAATTTCGGCTGATTAACGGAGTCGTATTTGCCTAAGTGTTTGCCAAGTAATGAATTTTTAATTCCAAGTGACGGTCACAAATTTAATTTGGTATGCGATGATTTCTCTTGATTTCTGTTTAAATGGTTGCCTCTAAAAAGGATAAAAGTAATTTGATCGCGTTTAAAAGGGCGGTCCGAATTAACAACAGCATAAAATACACTTCATAAAACTAAATATTACCAAGTGCAGAATCCGCCTTTTTCGCCTATTGCTTTGAAAAAAGCAGCTTGAAAATAAGCTCTTAAAATAAAAGTAAAACAATGAAATGCAAATCAGCGATTTGAGGATAAAAGTTTTCTTTCAAAGGAGAAAATTTAAGTTTTTAAACTTTATTTTATTTCACTCTTTTGTGATTGAATAAAAAAGAAACGCCATTTGCAGTTTTGGTTTAGACTTTTTCACTACATAAGTGAATGAATTTTATTTGGATTATCAGTTTATGAATTAGGAATTATTTCCCCTCCCGTGTTATTTGTGTTGATTGAAATAAATGAAAAGAAACTGATAATAAACAATGATAAACAATTCCAGACTTCAACGCTCAGAGATAAAGCGGAGCTTCAGCTGAATTTTTAAGAGATTAAATTTAGAAAAAAACGATGAATATAAAATATGTCTACGCCTCGGAGCTTATAAGGGATACCGAGCAATAGAGATTGGATGAAAAAGGGATAAAAAGGCTGCTACAGGACACGCAGGAAGAATAACAAAAATAAAAAAAAACGAAAGAATATCTATTTTTTAAATCTTCGTTAAATCCCTTTTTAAAGAAACTCAAGAATTCTCTCAAGCTATGTTTGTTCTCAGGCATTAAAAGTGACCATCGAATTTAAAATAACAAGATTAAGCGAGGATCTAAAATTTTCGCAAGATTGGATTTTCCAAAAAGATGTCCGCTTTTTAGGTCAGCCTAAAAGGTTTTCCGATCTCTGCCAAAAAATCAAAAGAAACAAGGATAGCCAGTTCCAGCTTACAAATTAGTGTCGTTTTTTCTGCGTGATATGACAAAAGCTCTGAGCAAAAAAAATAGCATTCAAAGTGCATATCTGCTAATGAGCATTTTTTCTTCGAAATTTTTTTGAAAAACTACATTAAAAAACAGGTAGAAATAAGTACCAAAACTAGGCTTCTAAATGTTTTAATCATACTGGATTTTCATTGACAAACTTTTAAAAAATAATAAAGTGACTGATCAATTTCAATTTAAGCCAATAAAACAGTCAAAACCATTTAAATCAAATTTGATCTATTATTATGGATTATTGTCTATGAGGATAAGTTTTATCAATTTTTTAAATTAGTTCTCAGCATATTCAAACTCTGACAACTGCCTGTGTTAATTTGAGTTTCATTTTGGTTTGCATTAAATTTTATTACTTCGTTTTTTCTTTCTTTTCCTCAAAATTTGGTTTATTTTTTCTGAATACTTTTTTCAACATTTTTATCCTAGCCCCCATTGACTTACCTCTGCGTTTCTATGTGCTTATGATCAATTTGTGTTGGTATGTGTTACGGGCTAAGGGATAAATTTGAAGTGATGGAAGGGCTAATTGTGTTTGCTTTAAATGGCGAGGGGTGTTAGATGTATAAAGGGCATCGTTTCGTAGTTTTTTATCACAATTTCGATTTGACTTGGAAATTTGAGTAGGCCGTGATCACCGCAGAAACTGCTGCTAGTTTTGCAGACCATTTTGCAACAAATTTACTCAACAGGTTTTGATAAAATTACAGTCGATTATAATATTTCTTTAATTAAATTAAATCGATTTAGGTTTCTGAAAAACGAGATTGTAGAAAACTAGTTTTTATCGGTAGAACTACACTCCAGCTTTGAATTTTTATGAATGAAAATCATTTATGATGGATCTTTGTTGCTTAATATGTTGTCTATATAATCGATTTTGTGGCAAATTTAGACAAAGTAATCAATTTTAATAGAAAATAACCGAGTATTTTCTAAAAAAAAAAAGTCCATTAAAATACTTTCTATTCGATTGTAATTAATTTTTTTCTTCAAATTAATCGATTATTTTTGTACATTAAGTTCATGAAAATCGATTGTTTTTCTCGGTAATTACTCTAATCTTTGGAGCTTTCTGCAAAATTCAAACCCGAAGAAACACGTTCATCTCCATGTTCACTACTCACTACACCAAAATCACGTCCCCCGCTACTCCTCCCACCTCACTAAACAGCCCCCTACTACGCAGGCCCCTGAGTTAACAAAACTGAATTTAAAAAATAACGGAAAAACACGCTATTGAAATTTAGAAGAAAAAAATTGAAATTCAGTGAGAGAAGAAAATAACTAACCTAAGTATAATATAATGCAGACGATTGAAAAAGCACAAAAACAGATTTCAAAAAATTATCACCCATTATAATCCATTATAATCGATTAAAACGGATAACGTTTCATTCAATAAACAACTTGTCGATAATCGATTACGAACGGATTTTTTCGCTTCTAAAATTATTAACAAAGTAATCCATTTTCAATCCATTGTTATCAATTGTTTTAGAACTTTAGACAGACCGACAGACAGACAGACAGACAATTAAAATCCAAAATAATCGATAAGTAACCATGAAAGTTCAGTGCGGGTTGTAACCGAACACTCCAAACATTTTATAACTTTTGAATTAAAAAAAAAAGTACAGATAAAAAATTAAACCGAATAACTCCCACAACACGGTCAAATTCTAGACTAAAAACGAAAATATTGAGAAAACACGAAGAAAATTAAAGCGCAGTCCAACTTTCACTTATACAACACGAGAATCAATTGTCAAAGATTTCATAACTTTCTTGCTTAGTTTTGGTTTGACTACTGCAATATAACTGAAGACATAATTAAGGAAAATTGTAATGTACAAAATAAAGATCTTCCATAAAACAATGCTATAAATGAAAACCTACGCTTCGAATAGGTAGCAATTTATGTCAAATTTTATATCAAATTAAACTTTTTTGCATGAGTGAGTTTCTAAATGGCGCATTTTGCAAATGACAATGTTATCAAATTATTGTTCCGACCATTTGAAAATTTGAAGGAAATACCACAAATAATAATTGGAATGGGTCGAGTGATATATTTTTTCTTTTTTTTTTCTTAGTTTCGAGAACAACCAATTTGATGTTTTTGATTTTTGGTCTAATTTCGAGCTAATAAAGTGAGCGTTCTGTCATAGCTTAACTATACTAAAAATGAGCCGTGAAAACTTAGTTTTAGTCAATTAAAATTCGTTTTTGAATTTTTTATTGCCATTTTGGGAATAAAAACTTCAAAAATTCAAAAAAGTCTGAAAATTTTTTAACTGAAGTTGCTTAAAATTTTTTGTAACAATTTGTTTAAGATTTTTCTATAGCAATTTTTCATAATAAAAAATTGATTTCCAATCGGCCAAAATTACTATGATTGTCGAGTATGCCTAAGTTTTTTTTCGTGCAGATCTTTTCATCACACCACGCATGAAAAATGACAGTAATTTGATTTTTTTTTGTATTTTTTAAGACTACGGTCGGAACATTGTATGACACTTGCACAGTAATCGGCTATCTTTCTTTTAAAAATGCCAATGACGCAGAGGCTATTTCAGAATAAAACCAGCTTTTTATCCAGGTCAGTTTTGATTTTTTGAACCGTGCCGAAACCATTGATGGTTCCAACTTCACAAAGCGCTGGATAACAATTTATCGAGTATAGAGGCTTTTGGCATTTTCTGGAAATGTAGGTTTTGAAAATTGCTGTTGTTAGAAATTGCTGTTGTTGTTGGCTTTTAGAAAATTAGAATAGTCAATTGCCCAAAATAAAACAAAGTAAAATATTAGTCTGTGTAACAAATTAAATGTTTTGGCAATCACACATGAAGGCAACCAATTAAACTTGTTGCCTCAAATGGCAAAAATTTCGGGGCAAAATGAACCACAAGCAGAAAAAATGTGGACCAGATGAAAAAAGAGTTAAGTTGCCAATTAACTTATTGACTGTTTTTCTGCATGAGTAGCAGTCCCATTTCCCATAACCATATTTTTTAAGATTCCATAACAATTTTGGACTTTTTATTTGTCAACATTCACTTATATACGGAAAAGCAACAATCAAATTCGCAAATTGGAGGTTTTCCACGCGTTACTGAAGTTCAGTTTTTTTAACTTGACTGAAAGAAAGCCACTTGGGAATTTTTCATCTAATGTTATTTGGAATTTTCTCGGCTTATGCCATTTGGCAATCAATCAATCATAAAACGATCAGAAGACAGTTCACACGAAGTATAAAGTCAGTAAGAAGTTCTACAAATCAAAGTCTGGTGTTTTGAATTGCTGAATACAATACAACATAAAAAACATGAGGGTTCGACATTATAGCTTTATATATATAATTGATGGACGTTTATAAATCATTCAACATAAGTCTCAGCAGTTCATTGCAACGGCAAATTAAAGCAATAAATAATTGAAAAATTGGATTTTTTCTTAGAAACAGATGAAAATGAAAGAACCAAGATAATACCTGTTAAAATAAAATTGTTATCAGAAAACGAATGTAATCAAGCTAAAAAAAATCATGAACACCAATTATTTGTTTCGGAATTCTCAAATGTCCTCTAAATCCATCCTTTTCCCGGTTAGAAGTTGAAATATTTGATTTTGTTGACTAGGATAAAATGCGTAAATTGCAGATGGAGCAAATCTGAGGGTTTGAAATCGAGGTAAATCAAACCGACATGTTACAATACGCGAGCCAGACGGAACAATTTTTTCCTGCTATTTAGAGTCAGGATTTCCTTTTAGATTAAAACTAATTATCGAAGAACTTTTTGATGGAATCGAAGTTTTGATGGAAAAATAAATACAGCAACAAATTGTGGTATTTTCGGATATTTTGGCTAAATGACTATTCGGTTGAATTAATCAACACCCTGTGAATTTATTTGCTCCACATACTTGAGCCGACCTGCCATTATTGGACCCTTGTGATAATAGTTATTATACTTGCAGTGAAATAGCACCCCAGAACTGTAGAGCAATGGATTAGATAAATGTTTACAACCCAGAGTTACCCAAAATATCTGGAGCACGGATTTCATGTGGCTATATGTCCGTTTAAACGATATATGCCCCTACTTACCATGTCTATAAACCGGATATTAAGTAAGTCGTTGTGTAATCAAGGGTTTTACTTTCATCGACTGTACCCTAATTGAGGAGCTAAATAATCTGCATGTTTGCATGTTTTTAAAAATTGTTAATATGGGTTCAAAGTTTAATGATTTGATTCAGAAAACGTAAAAATTACGAAAATTCAACCTTTCTCAATTATATGGATGAAATTGAAAAAAAAAGAAACTATTAAATTTTTTTTCAAAAGACAGGGTATTTTAGAAACGACAAACATAAATATGTAGCTTTTTCAGGTTTGTTTATTTTCTGATTAACTGACATAAAAATTTTTAGCCTTCGGCACCTTATATAAACAGAGTTATAGCAGATAAGTAAATAAATACATTCTAGGAGAGACACTTGATAAGGCATTCAATCCGAGAGTGTCCGATCGTGTTATCGATTCACTGACATGGCAAGAAATAAAAATGTGCGAGGACGAGCTCTAGCTTGACCGCTACATTCTAATCTACCACAGTCTGACCGATCTCGGCTGCAACATTGGTAACACGTGAAATTTCTAGACGCAAAAAAATGACCTTGAGTTGCAAACAGAGCCTCGCTCAACAACATAACTCAGTCTGGAATGTGACACAATGGATTACGCTTAGACAGGCTGGATAACATTTCATAGATCTTCTGCAAATTTCAGAAACAACAATTATTAAAAAATATATATAACAAGCGAAGTATTTGTGCCACAAAAACATGGGCTGATCGGGAGTTCCCACGGAGCCGCATTCCCGGATAACCGAAAAAAACTAAATGCCTCCGGTTTTAAAAAAAGTAAATCAGAAAATAAGTCACTAAATTGAGACTAAA